AGATGAGTTTTCCTTACATCCACAAAACTCGAGGGCGAGTTTTATTCAAGTGGAGGAGATTGATGTAGTACATCACAACTACAATTAATAGTTCCACTTTATCTAGGAGTTTGTCTTTTTTAAATTATCTTTTCTAATTTCTTTTCCTAGTTGTAATAAGCTTATTCTTAAATCTTGTTTAGATTATGATTATTTTATTTTCTTTTAAAATTTAGTTTCCTTATTTTGGTTCCTTTTATTAATAGGATTAGAGAATAATTTTGTCTATAAATATAAGAGCATTGCACACTTTTCAAGACAATCAATCATATATTAATACAAATCAGGATTATTCCAATATAATTCTTATTATAAGAATTTCATAAACACTTCTGCACCAAACATTCATTTAATACAATAATTGTTCGGGAATCTACCACACTAAACCTCCTAATTTAGGCAGACATATCAAACAAGTATATCAAAGGTGCTTGTCTATCTATTTATTTTAAAAATGAAAAGATAAGGGCATCATATGCAAAGAAAAGTCGACACTTACCTCGAGTTCACTAGCCAGATTGGTGTGTTTGCTTCTAAGAGTCTCCATTATGTCTTTTGCAGCATCAAATGCACTGGCAGCAGAGGCGACAAATCCCAATGCTGTGTTACGCCTCAATGCATTCTGACCAACATCATTGTTGGACGAACTCTGATGCAATGATTGATCATTACCAGATGGTATGCTGCCTTCAACAGTAGCTGACCTTTCAGGTTCTTGCACCTGAGAGCTGCCATCATGGGAACCAAGACCTCCAGTAGATTGAACTCCTCGGTGAATCTGATTGTCTGCGGCTAACGAACTGCCACTCTGACCGGCCACTCGTGAACTTCCACTGGCCAAGCCAACAGAACCAGAAACAACAGGACCAGAGACATTTTGTTGCGTTCTCTGAGCCACTGCCATTCTACCATATTCAGATTTGTTTGCAATGTCACGCCGTTCGAGCAAATATGTCCGCAGCCAGTAATACAGCGCCTAAATTTAAAAGATGGCATCAACACCAGAAAGATTAATATTGAAAACTAGATTAATGATTTCTAAAAGCAAATTAAGACCTACCTGAGGATATACAGTGGCAATTTTAAGTAAAACAAGTTTGCAATGTGGAGCTTCAGTCCTTTGTAAGGATAACAATAGTTGAGGAATCCAGGAGAGCCAAACCCAGTGAGGTACTTGATCCAAGTATTTGTCAAATGCCCTCCCTACTGGTTCATTGGAGGGGTCAAAGCTGAGTAGGTACAGGACACGGGCTAGATGACTTCTGGAATTAGGACTTCCAAATTTGATGCCCTGAAGAAAGCAGCTCACAGCGTATTCCAACCAAATCTCTTCACGGGTTTCTCTGTAAGCCTGGAGACAGCAGAATAGGCATTCAAGCTACTAATGAAATAAAAAAAATTGGTAACTAAACATGACCAATACATTACCATGTCACAATAATTTCCCCAACTAATCCATCCTTTAGGCAAGTTCTTGAAGAGAGTGATAGCATTTGAATACGCAACATTAGCACCTTCACCATCATTAAGCTTTAACAAAAAATCACCCTTCAGGCGAAAAATTTCAGCCTTGTGTTTGATGGGAAAATACTCTAGGCTAGTATTATTTATCAAATTAAGACCAGTAACTAGTTCTTCCTTCATTTCCAAATATGCCTTTGCTTGTTCTCTTATTTTAACAAAAGCCTCCTGTAAATACAATACAAAAACCGAAAACAAGAAAAAAAAACTCATCAATGAAATAATTTATCCTACTACCACCACATCATATCCTCCACTCAGCCAGGAGGCTGATGATGGGGATACGAATGGAGATCAAGGTGGAAAGAGAGCTAAAAAGTAAACGTGAATAGTACACAGCACCTGAACTTCCATAGTAGAGTGACCATACAATTTATCTAGTATAGACACACAAACATCATACAAGCCATGCTTGCGGGCAATATGGGCAAGCTTATTGACATTCCATGCCTTGTCGCGGAAACCAAGATGATGTAGCTGAGGATTTGTATTGCTAAAATCCTTAAATGCGTCGATAACTGCATTATACATTTCATTTCTCCACTGAAGCAAATCATACCAAATAGACATATTGTCCCATTCATTTGGAGTTCTCAGTCTCCATGTCTCAAGGATATCCTTGAGATCTGCATATAGACCACCGTGCCCACCAACAGAATTACCAGAAAGTTTATTTCCATTGGCAATATCCACTACAATCCTAGCTGATTCTTGAACTTCAACTAGCTGCTGAAATTGCTGAAGAAGAGGGATTCTTGCATGAATGGACATTTCAGGCAATTGCCACCACTGATCCAAAGCAAGATCAACACCTTTACCAACTAGGTTTTCGGCCTCCGTCACACCATTTATACTTTTTTCATGAAGGGCAAAATATGCTTGGATAGTACGAAGTTTGTGAGTTTCTTCTACTTGAGCTTTTGGAATAACATGATCTTTCATATACGCCCAGTCAGGTTTTTTCCAGAGATTATCAAGTAGTATTTCATAATTCTCAACAATTTTGCCGAAGTCCACCAGCACATCCCATTGACTGAGTTGAGTAGCACAATGGAGCCACTGCTCTTCCCAAAGACACATCTCAGCTTTAGGTACAGTATCGTTGTAAGTCCCTTGAGTAGCCTTCACCATAGCTTGATAGAAAAGGCTTTGTGCCTGTTGCCAATAACCATGCTGAACAAGTGAAAGACCAGATCTAGTTTCCGCAGTAACTGACCGTTTCTTCCACAAACCACACCTCATATCTTCTTCATTAAGTAATCGATAAAGCTCAGCCAGAGACTCGGAACACTTTGTGTCATTCAAGAACAACATCACATGACTTTCTAGTAGTGCTAATGCAATATGCCATGCATTATATGTCCTTCCAATGTATTTAATGAGTTCACTGGGCATCCGTGGCTGGGGATGGCTTAACTGAAGTCCTTCTAAAAGAGCTTGCACAACATTTGGTCGATATGATTGCTGCTTCTTGTGATAGTCTTTCGATAAGAGAGCTATCATGGGCTTAGCTAGTGCTACCTGTTCTTCCTTGTGTAAGGACATCCAAACAATAGGAAACACCAAGACCCACAAATGATATGCAACATTTGCATCTGTATGGGCCAGCTCTCTCAGTGGAACAATAAGATCCGCAACCTACAATAAATTCAGATCCAAAAGAACCCGAAAATTACTTGCATTAATAAATTTATAGAGATTCCTAAGATGGCTTTGCAATGCACATAAACATCACTCCAAAACAAAATTACTATACCACAGCCAAAAATAGTACAGAAACCAATGTAAAATGCCCTTTTAGTGATAAGTACATCATCCACCTAGACAACTGCTTTTACATTTATTTATGCATACTATTCAAAACTTTTTTTTTTTTTTAAATAGGTAATCTCAATATTTTATTAATCAACGAAGAATACACGGGAAGTGTATAATCAAAATAAACA